GGTTTTTTTTTTTTTTTTTTTTTTTTTTAGTTTTAATTCATATCATGAAAATAAAAGTTCTTCTGGATTCCTATAACTTGAAAATGAATGTTATACTTGTTAGCTTTTCAATAGTCAAACCGATCGACTTTGCTTTACACTAATTTTTCTTAATTTTGTTACACAGATGCAAGATTAATTAAGTTCGGTTTCAAAGAATTTATTCTTTCAATAAATGATTCACTCTTGTACGTTCGTTCATCGTATGAAAATGCTTGTAATAATCATAATAATCTCATAATAAACGTAATATTTATAATAACTTTTTAAATTTATAATAAATCATTTTTTATGACCGATGCGACTTCTGTGGATGTTTAGTTCAACTATATTTCACGATATTTTTAAATCTGATTAAATTTATCAATCTGAGGGTGAATTTTATTGGTTTAACATGTGTGTTAATATCTGAGCAACCATAATTCGTACCTCATCGCGACACCTATACTAATGCTATACGACGTATGAAGGTAATGATCGATTACGCACGATATCATACTAACTTGTTACATTCGCACGGTGAATATTCAACGTCGGAACGGTATAATGCGAGTAAGAAAGAAAACAATTCCGATTGAAACAGAAACATTTCTCCAAATTACAAGTTAGAGAATTAGCAAACCTTTGGAATTGCACAGACGGAGACGAGAATTTTGAAAACTTGCTGAACAACAGGAAAGAAAGAACAATCCAATTACGTTTCCTATAGAGGATATACAAATCATGCGCGATGATTTGAATTCCTCCGACTCCGTCGGTGTCACACCAAGCAACGGGTTGAACTTCTGACGAGCAATAAGCGAAGGTTGCTGCGTAATCGCGCGAGCGTGAAGGAAAAAGTATTTCGCCCGTGCACAGCGTGCTCGGCGACGTGCGAGAGTTGGCTGAAAAACGTAAAGAGAGAGGAAAAGAAAAAAAAAAGGGAGGAAAAAAGGAAAAAAAGCAACAGAGAGAGAGAGAGAGAGACATGTATCGCGGCGAGAGAGAAAGAAAAGTGACAGAGGGGGTGATAATTTGTTAGCATGCGCGCACCCCAAATGCGCGAAATCCCGTCGAAGTGCGGCTCGAGCGCATTGTTTCCTTGTTTGCCAGGTGTTTCGAGTACTCGGGGCGAGTGGGGGCCACGCCATTGTTACGAGAAGTCGTGCAACCGCTCGACAAAGCCGACGATCTAATGCTCTTTTATTGTGCATTGTGCTCGGCCAAATCAAGGAACGGGGAACACGTTAACCGAGGGATCTCCATCCGTTTCGATACGACAGGGGTGGAGGAGGCGCCTCCGCAGCCACCACCGATCGCAACAAAGAGAGAGACTCCCCCTCCAACCCCCCACCCACCCACTCAGCTGGGGGGGTGGAGGTCTTGGCGAACCTGCAGGTTTTTCCACTGTTTACGCTGCCGCGAGTTCACTGATATCGATTCGACGTTCGCCGGCGAACGTTGTTTTTTACCGGTTTCTTACATTCGTCGTTTCGACCCCTTCGCTGTTTTTTTTTTTTTTTTTTTCTTTTTGTCCGACACACCGAACAATGAACGAACTTTTCATAAGCTTTCGAGTCGCCGCCGTTTAATTGTTATAATTCATGTTTAAAAATTAATAACAATATGTTAATTTCATTCTATTTATTCAGGTAGAAATTATTACGTTTCAGCTGTAATTGAAAATAGAAGAATTTCTTTTCTTCTCTTTTCCTCTACTTTCGCACAGTGGGGGTTGTAAAACATGTACGTGAAGAAAAAGAAAAAAAGATAATCTATTACGTTGTTACAAAAACTTTTGTACCGCTCGATCTAAATCAGATCGTCAATAAAATCGAAAGCCAAAAGTACGAAAATTTGGTCGGAAAGAGCAAGCGAATAGAAGGAAATTAGGAGATTGTACTTACTATGGATCGTGCCGCATGCAAACGATCAAAGAATCACAGAGGAGGTTTCTTCCAAAAGAAGTTTATTCTGTTCCAACATTTTTAAAGTGAAAATTTATTCGAACGGTTCCGTTTGTTTTTGTTTTTCTTCTTCTTCTTCTTCTGTTCTCCCTCGGTGTAATACACTGCGACTCGTGTTGCATCGGGAGGAGACTGACTGAATAAAATCGTCATCGCGATATTATCTGATTAAAAACATGACACATTTCCCACGATTAATAACGCGCACATAAGATCGCCAAACGTGTATATTATGCATTATCGTGTTTACTATAGCGACGAGCGGAGTTACTGTGTTTTGAAACATCATGCGTCGGATCAGTTTCGTTCTTGTTTTCCCCATTTTTATTTTCTGATTGGTACACTATTTACGCGTTTTCACTTACACAGAGAGAAGAGTTCAGACAGAAAAACATATATACTCTCACGTTCAACGACAGGCTCTCAAGTAATCCTTCTCTTATTGTAAAAATCAAGCGTCTGATACAGTTTCGTGTTGTTCATTCCTCTTTTCGAACGAGCTACGTTTACGTGTAAAATCGTGGAATTTCCCATCTCATAGCGAATCGGTTCATTGCCTCTTCGTCGTGTAAAAAGTGGTTTATTTGTTTAAGTACTTCGTTTAGCTAAAATCCCTGAATAGAGTGTCTTCGGTAGCTGATGATTGCACAGCTGTTACTGTTAACGAAGAAATCTCTCCCACGAGTTCGTGCCCTCGCGGACATACAAGTTTCGACGATTATAATCGGTTGAAACAACGTTGATTGATGAAGTTACGCGTGCAATTCAATACACACACACTAGGGAGTACACGTTCGTTCAAAAGTCTTGAGACACATTTCGATCTTTCGTAATCAATGTTTATCGTGGACAATGAAACTTTTTGAACACGCACACGTGCTTTATAATGGAATTGTTAATATATATTGAAACTTCTCAGGATTCTTTGCTGCAAATTTCCAATTTTGAAACGAACACGTATCATTTAAGACTTTTGAGCATGTATCTACATCTGTGAATTCTATTTCCTTTTTCGTCTTCGCATTTTTTGGTCTTTTTCATTTCTTTTTTTTTCCTTTTTTTTTTTTTTTAACTTTAGCACGAGTTATCAGGTATCCACTTTTATATTCTGTTCTGAAACGTACATGAGGAAATCAATTCAGATTTTCGTTTCTCGCAAATCTATGGAAAGATTTAAATATTGAAACTTCAACAAAATTCGAGCAACTTCTGAATTATCTTTAAAGAAAGAACTTTTAAAAAAATCGAACTATTTTTTAAAAGAATCAGATCCAATTCGTAAACAAAAGCGAAAAGTAGATCTAAGAGTTAGACTGTGGATGTTTGTCTGTACGTAGAATGCGAATGACAGGCAAAAATACACAAAACAGTTGAACTAGAATATTTATTGCGATACTCAGGGAGTGAAACAAATTTCCACCAGGATATCTATGTATCTGTAGCTGTGTCCATAAAAATATAAATCTGCATAAACATCCGCAGTCTACTTACAAACACACGTTCTAACTTGGATAACTCAGACCACCCGAATATCTATAATTCACGAAACACAATTTTTGTTTTTTTTTTTTTTTTTTTTTTTT